GGCAAAAAAACATGAACCCTGACCTAAAACACCTAACACCTTACACAAAATTAACTCAAATGAATCAGAGTTTAAATGTAAAAGGTAAAATTGTAAAACTTTTAGGAAAAAAAAAAAGAGAGAGAGAAAACCTCTGGGACCTAAGCTCTGAGACCTTAGCTATGACACCAAAAGCACAATCCATAAAAGAATAAAGAAAAAAATTAAATATTAGACCTCAACAAAATTTGTAACTTTTGCTCTGTGAAAGACCCTGTTAAAAAGAGGGAAACACAAATAACAAAAGTGGGAGGAAATATTTACAGACCAAATATCTGACAAAGGACCCACACCTGTAATATACAAACATTTGTCAAAACAGGATAGTAGGGATTCCCTAGGTGGCTCACACAGACCTGAATATGAACGTTCATAGAAACTTTATTCAAACTGGAAAACAGTCAAAATGTTCTTCTGTAGGTGAATGGTTAAACTGCGGTGTATGCATACTATAGAATACTACTCAGCAATGAAAAGGCATGAGCTATTGATACATACAACTTGAATGGATCTCAAGGACATCAGGATAAGCGATAAGCCTTGAAAGATCACATACTATATTATTCCATTTATAACATTCTCAAAATGATGAAATTACAGAGTTAGAGAACAGATTGGTGGTTGCTAGAGGTTAGGAAAGGTAGGGAGATACAGGAGCTATTTAAGACTTTCAAGGGATTAGCACAAGGGGGATCTTTGTGGTAATGGAAGGGTTGTGGATTTTGATTGCAATGGTGGTTAAACAGGAGATAAAATGGCACAGAATTACACCCATACATTGCACCAATGTCAATTTCCTGGTGTAGATATTATACAATAGTTATGTAAGCTCTAACCATTGGGAAAAACTAATGAAGGGTAAAAACTTCTCTGCACTATTTTTGCAATTTTCTGTGAATATATAATTATCTCAAAAGAAAAAGTTAAAATAGTTTCTGAAAATCTGAGAATAAGGGAGGGAAGACATAACTCTGTACATAACAAGGGTCTAGCAACTCTCCTTATTAATTTAGAGTTGTTTCAAGGACAAAGCATGATAAAAATAACAAAAGGCAGTTTTTAAAGTGCCTAATATCAGCCAGACACTCTTCTAATACTTTCCACATATTGCCACATTTAATCCACATAATAACCTTGTAAAACAAATACTACAACTTCATTGTAAAGACAGGAAAACTGAAGCTGAAAAAGGTTAAAGTAATTTGCCCATGATCAAAGAATAAGTAGTAGAGCCACAGGTTAAACTTAAGCTTGATTCCAAAGGCATGCCTCCTGCACATGACTGTAACAAGTATAAAGATGTTCAGTGAAAAAAGTAAAGATATCCATCAAAATGAGTGCAAAAGCCTGGATGAAACAAGGTTAAGCCAGTTTGTTTCCAGTAGGGTTCTGAGAACTTTTAAGATGTCATTATCTGTTATGTATCTAGAAGGCTACAGTATACAGTTTTCCCCCAGTATGTACCACCAGGGAGTCCTTTCCCTGCAGAATACAGCATCCAACAGTCCCTCACTCAAATGTTAAAATGTTTAAATTAGACTTATGATGATCCTTCTGCAGCCCGGGTGGCTCAGCGGTTTAGCACCGCCTTCAGTCCAGGGCGTGGTCCTGGAGACCCGGGATCGAGTCGCGATCAAGTCCCACGATCAAGTCCCACGTCAGGCTCCTTGCATGGAGCCTGCTTCTCCCTCTGCCTGTGTCTCTGCCTCTCTCTGTGTGTGTGTGTGTGTGTCTATGAATAAATAAAATCTTTTTAAAAATCCATATAAATATTGAATCACTATGTTGTATAACCTGAAACTAGTAACATTATATGTCTATGTGTTTCAATTAACAACAAAAAAAAGGGTAACATGTTGAAATTACCTGATCTCAATCCACTTTGTCACATATTGGCAGACTAAAATGCTTCAAGCAGTGCTGTCCAATATGGCAGCCACTAGCCCAAAGAAACTATTATAAATTAACCAGAATTAAATAAAATTAAAATTTTAGTTCCTCAATCACACCAGCCACATTTAAGTCTTCACAACTTATTTCAAGTGCTATATATGACCCATGCTACCATATTGGACAGCACAAACATAGATTTCCATCACTGGAGAAAGTTCTGTCAGACAACACTGAGTTAAAGATTTGATTATGTTTTTAAAGAACATGAGGCCTGTGCAATCCTCAGAGGAGCACACTGTTGTTCATTATACGTGTAACTGCCACTACCCCACCACAGAACAGGGGCTAGGTCAGAAATTTTTGATGGGCCTAGTTACTGCCATTCTGATGCCAAAGCATGGGGAAGGGATAAGCAAAGAAGGAGGGAAAGTAAATAGCGCATTTATATATATACATATATATAAAAGAAAGGAACAACAAGCAGCTGGGGGAGGACGCTTGAACTGGGATTTAAGGATCTGGGTTCTACTCCCAGTTATACCAATGATTCATAAAAAGATTTTTTTAATGTTTGTACTTTGTACTAATTAACTGTGATTTAATTAGACAAGTCTCTTCAGTACTTTGGGCCTGGGTTTCCTCTTCCACAACACAAATTTAAATTGGTTGATCTCCAAGATTCCCTCTAATTCTGTACAGTTAAAACACACACATGAAATGAGAAGACGAGAAATAAAAGAGCAAGATCAGGGAGTAGTGGTGGTGGAAATTGGCAGTCCTGTCGGATGGACACAAGTTTTATTCCTAATAACATCTGGATACACCAAAGCAAGAAAGATTTCATCCAATAAATATTTATTGAGCAATTATTTGCAACAAACTGTACCATTTGGAAGTAGCAACACACACACACACACACACACACACACACACGAAAAAAACCTGATTAAGTCAAGACCCATATATGGAAGGAATCCAAGATTCCCAAAACTTTAGATTGAAAGACATGTAATAACCCAGCTGGCCGAATACTAAGAAATACTAAGATACTTATATCTTAAAATCTTCTTGAGTAAATACAACTAACAAATTATATAAAATCATATAAAAACAAATTATATAAAATCATATAAAAACCCATAGTATAATGGGTTATAACAAATTATATAAAATCATATAAAAAATTCATTACCTTCCCCCTCCTTTACAGAGAATGCAAATAAATGCTACATGTATTTGGGAACAGGAAGACATCAATTTTGGTAAACTTAATTTCTCCAGATCTCATTTAATTGGGTAGTCCTACGTTTTCTGGGTTCAGTATTCATGAGTTTAGAGATGGTTACTGGAATTAAATAAATTCTCAATTTTTTGGTGCCCAGAAAGAATAAATTGCAACTGAAATTCTTGCTTCTAACTATCCACCACTGTACATTTCCCACTTTTCAAAGGCATGGTTAGTCCGATTTCCTAGGACCAAAAGGAACAGAAACCCTTCCCCAACCCTCTTCCCAGAATTAATATAAAAATTAAAAACGATTTCACCTCCGGATAAAAAAGAACCACTACAAGCTACGTTTGATATTTTACCTGGCAAAAGCTAAAGCAACCTGTGAGTCGAGCAACCTCTGTAAGAATTCAAACTCATTAAAAGCCCCAAACCATACCCATGAATATTTTGGACTAGGAGAGCTACTGTTACAGATTTCCACAAAAGACAACAAGAAGAAAGGATTTTAGCGACAAATCTTTACTTTAGAAAAGCAGTTTTATAATACCCCAGCAACTAATCCCTCGCCAAGGACCGCGCGGCGCGGAAACCCTGGCGAATTTGAAAACAAACGTTGGTAAAGGCTCGGGGTGAAGGGCGGGGGCGGGCGGGGGCGGGGGAGCCTGGTACAGGGGGTTAGTAACTGACAGCTCGGCCTCGAAACGAGAAGCCTCAAGTAGGTCAGGCTGTGTCAACGGTCTGAAATGCAGAGTCCACCCCAGTGGGCTTAGGGGAGTAGAGCAGCAGGAGGTGAGCGGGGGTTTGGCGTCTTTCAGCGCTAAAGGGGCGGGGTATGAGAACTGAGAGAGACCCAGAGCCCAAGCTCGGGCAGTTCGCCTGCTCTCACCTCTCTTGGGGGCCTTGATCAGAGGCACCCCTCCGGTCCGCTCGCCGTTTTCCTGCTTGTCCTTGTGCTTGAGATCGCCCGGAACGCAGGAGCTGGGGTCACCATCGGAGCTGCGGTGGTGATGGTGCTTGTGCCGCTCCTTGTGGCCCTTATGCTTGGGCCCGGCCGCGCTCACCGTCAGGGGAGAGAAGGTGAAGAGGGCCGAGGTGCCTGGGGCCGGGAGCGGGGCAGCGACAGCGGGCCCGGCGGGTGCCAGCGAAGGTGGAGGCGGAGGCGGCAGGAGCAGAGGCTCAACAGGGCCCGGGACGGTTGGGGCTGCATTCGTTGGCGGCAGCGGCCCGGGATGTTGGCGGCTGCGACGCCGCCGGTGAGGGGGAGCAAGAGGGGGGTCCTGGCTCGGCCGCCCCCGCTTCTCCTGAGATCCCCCGCTGCTCGCTCGGCGCTGCCGCTTCACTCCCCGCGGCGAGACCCCGGCATGGGGTTTCTCCTTCCCTTCTTTGTCCGGCTCCTCCTGCGCCGCCACCGCCCGTACTACGCGCACCGCTCCGACCTGCGCAGCCATTTCACCCACAAACACACATTTAAATGGCCCGACCGCCCCCCCGTCCGCGTATCGCGCAAGCGCCGCCCGCGCACGGCCCGCTGGGCATTGGAGTCTCTCCCCCGCCCTCCACTTGTCGGAGGCTCTTCCTCCGGAGCCAAACATGCCGGAAGCGGCAGTTCTCAGCGCTTCTCCGCAGGCCTCGCCGAGCGAGCCCTATTGTAAAGTACCCTGGGCCGCGCTGAGTCTCATGGGAGCTGTAGTTCCCGGCGCCCCGCCGCATACCCGGCTCCGGGAGTGGAGGAGCGGAAAGAGAGCGTGCGCCGAGTCACGCTTCGGGCCGCGACGCAACCGCCGCTGGGCGGAGAGTTGCCGCCAACCGCCTTAACGGCCGAGACAATGTTAGCGGCTCTCGGCGTCTGCGGGCGCGTTCCTGTCATCGCGTTCGTGGGCCTTTGCGTCGTTTTACACGGAGTAGGTGGTCTCCTTAGGTACTTTTAAAGTTTCACGTTCCTCGCATGACCTTTGTCAGGTAAAAGAATCTGCGGCCTTTTATCTTTGGACAAGCGATGAAATAATGGAGAAGAAAGGGGAACTTGGTCATTTGTGAAACGAGGGCGATTTGGGTGTAGAATGTGATGGGGCCGCAGCGAAGACATGTTGTAACCTCTCGGCGGGCACTGCCATGGTTACGGCCTCCGGCGTCACAGGACAGGTGCGAGGGCTGCCTGGGCGCCTGGGGCGCGCGCCCCACCTCGCCCCGAGCCGCGCCCCCCGCCCCCCTTGCCTCGAAAGGTAGAGGCCATCATTTGTTTTGAATCCGTCTCCTCGGCGACGAAAGAATTCTAGACGGAAAACCGTGTTTTAAAACTTTTCTAAATAAGTTTTTTTTTTTTTCCCCCGAGTCACAAGGAGAAGGTTGCATAAATTTGAGAAGGGTGCCTACCATGGAACATTCCAGAAATCGTCACTGTTCACCAAGGTTGCTGCCCGGAAATTCATTCACAATTCCATCGTCAGGGTTTTAGATTTTACCTAAGATTCTGTTCACGCGTTTGGTCCGTGATAAAGATATCTGGGGATAATTGATTACAGTGAAGTACTCCGAAATGGCACGAGTGCCTGGAGAAGTATTCGGCCAAATGAACACTGCGGTAAAGTCAGTTTAGAAACAGTTTATTCAGCACCTATTGTGTACATTGTTCTACAGTAAACAGGCTAACACATCATCCAGTTTGCGCTGTCATTAGGGTTCATAATGAAAGTTACTGAAGAACAAGTGCTGTTTATTTCTGGTTTCTAAAAGTTAAACTTTTTCTGAGTTTCAAATCATTAGGAGAACTCAGGGGAATCTAACAATAATTACTCGCTAACTTGTTACATAAAATCAGCTTTGAAAACTCAGATTTTCTTAAAATAAGGCAGGTCCATTTTCCATATAGAAAAATTTAAAACCTCCAGTTGGTTGGATATAAGTTGCACGTGTTTATGTAGGACCTTTGAAATGAAGAAAATGCTACCAAAAGATAGCTATTTTGCTGATTATTCTTCTAGACTTGGTAACTGAATAGCTTTGGTAAAGACAGAAATGCAGTTGAACATCTTGTTAGTGAATCTAACCAAACAGCAAAGATTTTCATGATTTACTTATTATCTTAAATCTAACGTCTCCTTTTCTCTAGTTTTCCATCTTTGGGGAGATGTGCAAGGAATTTAGGCAAAAATAACTCCCAGGGAATAGTCACTGTCACAAGTAGTAATTTTGTACCACAACCACAAGTCAGATTTTGCGAAACGCTTTGTATAGTAAATTCTGGCAAGGTAAACAGTTGAGATCCAATTCTTAAAAATATTTTAAAGTTTATGTTTCTGTAGAAAGTAGAATAAAAATAACTTACAAAGTGAAAAATAAGTCCATTCTAAAACTGTTTCTCATACAGCATTCTCTGCTTAAGCTCAGGTGACAAACTTATTTCCAATTTCCAACTCAATAGAAATAAGATGAAAATATAAAATTTCTGGCACTTATTTGAATATCCTTTTCTAATATTGCTACTAACACATTACAGTATCTTCGTTGTTGAAATTATGAATATGGAAACCTTATTTTAGGTAGCAGTATTCTAGTACTTTTATTTGTAAATGAACTTGCAGCCTATATTCCAAAGTTGTGTTAAATATTCCAAGTTGATGGTGGTTTCCTTGGTCCTTTGGGTTTTGAAAAACGATTTGCAAAACCTGGGAACAAAAAATTGAATGAAAAGTTTTTTAGTATAGAAATGAACTATTAGGTTTTAGAGCATATGATATATGCAAATACATGGATTTTTTTTTCAAAAAGGCAATATCTTGGATCACTTTAATAATAGATTGTAAAGGCATAGTACTTAATGCATAAATGATAACACTAATAACATTTTAATTTCATAGAACACTTAACAAATTTAATAATGGTAAAAATTATATGAAGAACCCTGGTTTTAAAAAAAAAGAAAAAAAAAAGAACCCTGGTTTTAACAACCTTTGGTAATTCAGCCTGTACAGCTGACCCTTGAATGGCGTTTCTTTAGCTTACTTTATTGTAAGAACACAGCATATGATATATAGGGCAAACAAAATATGTTAATCAACTATGATGGGTAAGACTTCTGGTCAACAGTACGCTATCAGGAGTTACATTTTGGGAGATTTCAAGTTTTGTAGATTGTTGACACACCAGGGGCAGGGGGACATCCCTATCCTCCACATTGTTCAAGGGTAAACTGTAATATCCTTCTTTTTCCAGTTTTATTGACATAGTATTGACCTATAACATCTGTAAGTTTAAGATGTACACATGATGATTTGATACACATATATATTGTGAAGTGATTACCACATTAAGGCTACATAACACCTCCATCCCCTCATATGATTACCATTTTTTCATGGTGATTATATTTATGATTTACTCTAAACTTTCAAGTATAAAATGCAGTACTGTTAATTATATATATAATTATTGTGCTGTACATTAGACCCCCCCCCAGAACTTCTTCATCTTACAGCTGAAAGCTTATACCCTTTGACATATATCTCCATTTCCCCCAGCCACTGGCCACTACCATTCAACTCTATATTTCTGTGAATTTGGCTTTTTTAGATTCCACATATAAGTGAAAACATACAATATTTGTCTTTTCCAACTGGCTTATCTCAGTATAATAATGCCCACCAGTTTCATCCATGTTGTCTCAAACAACAGGATTTCCTTCTTTTCATAAAAATATGAAATGTATATTTCATAAAAATATGAAATGTATACATATCTGCTTTATGCATTCATCTGTCAGATGGAGAATTAAGTTTTTCCATGTATTGTCTATTGTAAATAATGGTGCAATGAACATGGGGTGCAGACATTTCTTCTGAGGTAATGATTTCATATATGCAGAAGTAGGATTGCTGGATCATACATGATAGTTCTATTTTTCGTGGGATTTTAAAAATTTTTTTTAAGATTTTATTTATTTGTTTGTTTGTTTATTTATTTATTTATTTGATGGAGAAATCGTACAAGCAGGGGGAGTGGCAGCCAAAGGAAGAGGGAGATTGCAGGGCTGGATGCGGGGCTCAATCTGGGACCATGACCTGAGCTGAAGACACTTAGCCTACTGAGCCACCCAGATGTCCCTATTTTTAGTGTTTTGGGGAACTTCCATATTGTTTTCCATAATGGCTATCCCAATTTTATTCACACAGGTAAGGGTTCTTCACAGGCTAGCTAATTTCATGTCTCTTGTCATTTTGATAATGGCTATTCTGACGTATGTGAGGTGATACCTCACTGTGATTTTGATTTGCATTTCCCTGATCATTAGTGATATCAAGCATCTTTTCACATTACCTGTTGGCCATCCATGTCTTTTTCAGAAAAATGTCTATTCAAGTGCTTTGCCCACTTGTTAATTGAATTGTTTTTTAATATCCTACGTCTGCATCTTTTCGCCCACCACACACTCAACAAAAACAAAACAAAAAACTGGAAAATTTCAATTTCAGAAAAATAAGCACTATTGTTTTACAAAATCATCGTATTAAGTTCAGTTAAATTTCTACTTCATCCCAGAAAGCACTCAACTTACTAAGACATTGTGTTTGAAAAGCTTAGAAAATAAACTAATAAACAATCCTGAAAAACTAAGTAATCACTTTTGTTTATCCGTCTCCTTCAAACACTCTTTCTGCCCACCCCACCACCACCACCACAAAAGGAGGAAAACAAGGTTTACACGAACAATGAAAACTATTTTTAGGTCCCTTCAAAAAATTTACAGATTGATAACAATGTCTCTTTATCACTTCAATATAAGACTTTTCTTTGATGAAGGTATATTTTCAAGGTACTCTGACAACTGTAAGTGCAACTTAAACTGCTCAAATTAAACAATGAAAGCTTTGAACAGAACCAATGAAAAGATCAGAGGAGATATTTGTTAAAGCATCCAGCACAATGCCTGGCACATAGTAACTACTTAAGTTTTGCTTCAATCAGAACCACACACACACACACAAAACAAACAAACAAACAAAAAACCTATATTGGAACTAGAAGAAAAGGAGAGTAGGGAAGAGAAGAAAAGAAGATATAACAAGAAACTAAGTTAATAATAGTGATGATAAAAATTTGGAGGGAGAAGAAGCACACAGCCAAGTTCATGTGTGTTTTACTCCTTTGATAAAAAAATAGAAGGAAAAATATTTTTGGTTATATAGTTTCATAGACACAGTCACAATCTCATCTATTCAGTCCAGATAACTTGACTATAACCCCCAAGTGGACAGAATAGAAGTAAGAACATAATATACAAGTACTAAGTATTTGAAATTTGAGGAATACTTATATTCAGTCTTTTTCACTGATAAATCCTGAGTAGAACAATAGTGAGCTACCATTTTTTGCATGTAAGCCAATTCAGGAAAAATAAAAATGTTTATAAACCACAAATTTTTAAAATTCACATTTAAATGCCTTTTTAAGTAAAACAGCACAATTTATATTGCTTCTTTTCTAAAAAATGTCAAAGAGTTGTGCTTTTTAAGTAAGTAAATACTCAAATCTAAGCATATTTCAGAAGAAATAATATGGAAGAGGCTCTCTAACAGTTTATCTTCATATTAGATCACATCTTCATATTAGATCACATGTAAAGTTAGATGGGTCATGAGTTAACTCAAGTAGTATCACTGATTAAGAGAAAAGGAAGCAAGGGAACATTTGTGTTCAGGCAAAGTTTGGTGCTTTTTTCATAGGTTATATAATAATCTATATGAAATTTTTAACTAAATGATCTCATAAGAATAACTTCTTTTTCCCCTAACAACTTTAAACCTTAGAGTTAATGGAATCCAAGTAAAACTCTACAGACCAAGTAAAACTCTACAGACCAAACTATACAGAGATTCTAGTTAAATATTTTGCCAAGGTGGAATGAATAGGGACCTTTATCCAGGTGTGGTAGAGATTGCTACTGGTCTACCAAAATCTTTCCTTCCTTCCTCAGGAATACGATTGTATCTCAGCAACTGCTTACATTTCCCAGTTGCTCTTGCAATTTAGATGCAGCACATGTCCAAATTCCCTTCAAGGGAATGTAAGCGGACATGATGTTGCCACTTCCAGGCCAAGTACCTCAAGACCAGAAGAGGAGGCCACACCTCTTCCACATTTTCCTCTCAATTTCTTGCCACCTGCAATCTGGACATGGCAGTGACACAATTTTAACCATGCAGATAAGAATAATACTACAGAGCAGCCGTTCTCAAGGTCTTGTCCCAGGGAACCCTAGGAGGCTCCCAGACCGTTTCAGGGGGTCTGTCTTTTGGGTAACAAATTTAGTAATAATAGCCTACATTGGGATCCCTGGGTGGCGCAGCGGTTTGGCGCCAGCCTTTGGCCCAGGGCGCGATCCTGGAGACCCGGGATCGAATCCCACGTCGGGCTCCCGGTGCATGGAGCCTGCTTCTCCCTCTGCCTATGTCTCTGCCTCTCTCTCTCTCTCTGTGACTATCATAAATAAATAAAAATTAAAAAAAAAATAATAGCCTACATTAATTGCTGTACTTCTTACAAAAATTTATAGTATATGTGATACTATCTTAAAGAGTATCATGAATTTATGTCTTATAGTATAATAGGATGCTTAAAATAATATGAAATTATTTTAAGTTTATAGCTAGGAGCAGTGTGGCAAACAATTCCTTTAAACTGTCAAAATTTGTGCTTCAGCTCCTATGGAGAATGAGCAATATAAGATTAGATAGCAACTCTTGTTCTTATGATCACACTTGTATTTTTTTATAACTTTGATTAGGTATGAAATGGAGTATCCTAGCATGCTCAGATCCTAGCATCTCATTTAATGAAATTTCTTTATTTGGCTTTGGCTAGTCACATTCATTTACTACATGCCAACAGAGTCATTTGATTACCTAGCTTCATTTTCTGCTATGCTAGGCATTTCGGGCCTAGGGAAGATGTTGAGAGGTAGCTAAGGTCAAAAATAAAAAGATAAATTGCATGGAAAGAATATAAATATAAGGGCTTACCATCAACCTTGAATCATATTTTAAGTTGTATCATACTATAAGATAAACATTTTTTTAACTCTGCTGGAAAATAATACACATACCAAAATTCAGAAAGGAGCTGGAGTGATTTGACTGAACAGAGTCTGCAGGTTTTTTTGGTGGGGAAGAATTACAGATACCTAGAATCAGAAGAAAAAAATGTAAGGGAAAAAAATGAAGGCAGACTCTGATTACTGCTTATCAGACCACATAATTTTGAAATTAAACATTTCCTCCAAAGTAATACTCCCAGGTAAACATATTACCATAAAATATAACAAAATATAGATGCTTACAAATAGGTTAACACTATAATCTCATTTTTATGTGGGTGTTTTTTGAAAGGGTTTTTTTCCCTTTGGAAATGGATTGTACAGTAAAGCCCAACACTAAAGGGAAATACCAGAGAATTCAGAAATAACATCCATTACATTGTGAATCAACTTCTTGGGGAATTCACACTGTGGTTTATTATTTCATTTTACTTTGCACTTTGATCACTTTTTTTTAGAGAGGAGAGAAAGAGCATGCCCATGCAGGGGAGTGTGGGGAGAGAAGAGGGGTAGAGGGAGAGAGAAATCCTAAGCAGCCTCCAGGCTGGATCTCACGACCCTGAGATCATGACCTGAGCTGAAATCAAGACGCAGATGCCTAACCTACTGAGCCACCCATGCACTCCTGCACTCTGATCACTCAACACATTTTTAAATAATTTGTGTTCCACATTCATTCACCTATGGCATGTCTGTACAGTATTTTACTCCTGAATATCTTTCTTCACTTTCTAGTCTATCTTTTCCCCATTATAAATGATTCTAGTTAGGCCCAGAATCTCCCCAAAACATTGATATATGGCTTTGTTTCTTTGTTTTGCTATTTTAGCTACTTATAGCTAGGCTTAAAAATAAGTTCCTCTTCCCAGAACCTTAATCATGTAACAGTTTCTGCCCAGTTTTAAAAAATGATCTAGTGAAAACATCATTCACATCTTGCATGTACACTACCTAGCAGTGAAAAAAGAAAATGTCAGGTTTGTATAAACCATCTATAAAACTTGGTGTAAAAACAGCATATGATTAGGGAGAAATTATAAATATTCACCTTTCCTTTGGTTGTCAGCATCTTCAGTGTACAGCGTGAGGACTGCATCTATGTTTATAAACACATGCCTAATGCTAGGATTCAAGAAAAAACGCCCTCTTCATGGAGGTACTTGAGTATGAATCACTAGGAGTACATGGTGAATTTCAGTCATATTCCATTAAAAATATATTTATTGAATGACTATTATGTGCCAAGCATTGGACTAAGCACTCAGGTTAGAGACATGAATAAGAAATGAGTGAAGGTGCGAAAGTTTAGGACATATCAATTATCACTAAACTGCATATGAACTAAGAGTTATATACATCCTTCAGAAAGAAGAGTGTGCCAAAAGGGAATGTTTTTGTTTTATCACAGAGGACAAAGATTCTGCAAATATATATATCAGAACTGATATTTTGCATATTGACTTGTCACAGTTTGGTTTTTGTTTCTGTTTTCCAAAACGGCAGTGCCATGTGGTTGAATTTAATATACTTGTAAGTACTTAGTTTTATTACGTTATTACATAAACAAGACTGACTATCCTATAATTTACTTTTCTCATTTAATGAAATATCTTGGTTTTTTTCCCCTATGGCAGCTCCAGTAGAACTATATTATGTCATGGATATTTTTATGCTGCCTGCCCAGCATTAATTCCTCCTTCTCATAGCAGAACTTGAGTTTTCCTTTAGGAAATCACCCCTCCCCAATTTTTCAGCTCTCATACTTCTGGTGAAGTTGATTCTATCCTTAGATCAAGGAACTGACCTATGACTAGTGCTAATTTTCATTTGGTACATTGCCATGGTCATACCAGTTGTTTAGATCTGACCTCATTTCTTATTGGTCATTGTCTATGTGTAACAATTATTAAATATTTTAATAATAGTTTGATAGCATGACACTGCTATACTTAATTAGAATACGCTGATAATAATTGTTTCAAGGATGAGCAGATGAACCAAACCAAGACAATCAAGCCCAATCAGCCCTAGTCATCAGACTGTTGCTTGAGCAACCAGGAAAGAGCTCATTTTTTCCATCACAAGTCTGAAACCACATGGTATAAGCCTGCCTATGAATGAGCAAACACAGAGTAAAACAAAGCTGGAGATATGGAATGAGATTAGGTCCTGATTATATCGTCTGAACTCTCTTGGTTACAGACCAATGAATTCCCCTTTTCTGTTTAAGCTAGCTTAAGTTGGGTTTCCTATCACTTGAAACTGGAGGATATCTGAGTAATTAAAGTTTCCCACCAAAAGCAGCCATCAGGCATCATGGTTGATAGCTTCAATTTTTGTCACCCTGTAATTCATTCTCTACACAGGAGCCAAAGTGATCTTTTTGAAAAACATCATGTAACATCTCTGCCCAAAGCTCTTCAATGACTTCCTATTGTACTTAGAATAAACTCTAAACTACTTAACATGACCTGTAAAGATTTAACCTTCTCCCTCACCTGCACCATCCTGTCAACCACACTTTACTACTCTTTCCTCCTAATACCATGGCTTCCTCTCAATTCCTACAACACACCAAACTCACACGTCAGAGAGTTTGCATATGCTGTTCCCTCTATCTGGAGAGCTCCTCTCTCCCCTTTCCCCCTGGCTGGCTACTCCTCCATGTCACAGGTTGAATCATTACTTAAAAAGGGTCTCTCAGACCACTTATTCCAAATAAATCCCCTTTGCTATTCTCTCTTATAATTACCCTCTTGGTTTCTTGCACAGCATTTATCACCATGTGTTACCCTGCATCTGTGAATTAATATCCGAATCCATCACTAGACTTAAGTTCCGTAAAGGCATAGCCCAATACCTGCTATGTTTGCCATCATATACCCAGTGCCTTGCAGAATGCCTGGCACATAATAGGCACTCAATGAATATTCAATGAATGGATGACACTATTCTTAATGTCAGCTTAAAACAACAGATGAAGAATCCCCATTTTATTAAAAGTAGGACCAGCTTTAACTAGAGATCAATTAGAGATCCAGGCTAAAGGGAGAACTACTGGACTTCATGAGTCATGAACCATCTAGAAGGGTAAGAGGACACCTACTTAAGTACAGGCAGATAAATCTGAAGCTTCAGGATCACTTGTGAAGGCCAGATATTGTTCTTCATTTAAGGACAAAAGACCGGAGGATGAAAGCAACTGAGAAATTGAAATTAGCTTAGATCTAGAGAATGATTTCAGAGGTCTTACTTAGAAATTAGATTCAGAGTCTCTAGAGTCCCACCACATATGGAATCTATGCCAACCTAAACTTACCTGAAGTTTTTGTGTCTTTCCTATCCCCAAGATAGAGTTGGGCTTTATATATTAAAAACAAAAAAAAAAATGATTTTTTTTTAAGAGAAAGAAAACTAGGTGTTTCATAAGCTAAACTGTTCAAACCAATCTGGCTAGCTATTCAAGTCAGTCACTGCTTTGCTTTCGGCTGTTCTATACTACAGTTCCCTCTGAAATGTTTAAATTCTCTTTTGACTCACTTTAGAGGAAAGCATATATTTTCCAATTATACTTTAGCCCTCATAGCTGAGAAATTCATTCACTTCCAAGATCAGGTATAGTGTCAATGAAGGCAGGCTCGCACAAGTTTATTGACCGCAAGTGAAGAGAATAATTAGAAGAAATAAGCTTCACTATAAACCTTCTTATATAGACAATACTATAAATTGTGTTTTCTCAGTACTCTCTGTCCCTCCCTATGACACTGGTATAATGCCAAATACCTGTTTGGTCCTTGGTGTTTAACCAAGTGGATCAAATGTATAAAAAGTGTATCACTATGTTTTATATACTTCGTAGTTATATATAAGGATTTCTAAGATAACCAACTTCCCACAGCTTCAAGAGTCTTTCGGTTTTGTTTTCATTACAATATAGCAAAAATAATAAGCAACAGACTTTTATTGCTAATAATACTTGGCAAAAATGGAAACGTGTCAATACTTTGCTTCTTTCATTAAATCAACACATTTGTTTCACAATATGCTTTGCTGTGACACTTTTCAAAGAAAATACATCTGAGGTTAGGCTGCTAGGAATTTTAAATAACACAATTGTATGACAGAGTCGTAGGATGAGTATAAAGTGCCAAACATCATATTCTCATTCTTGTCTATTAAACAAAAACTCCTCCTCCCCTTACTTCCTTCCAATATTAGCATTGTGGAGCTCCACACTACAAGGGCTGGGAGTGTTTGTTCTGATACAAAGAGCCGTAGCAAGGCTCTGTATAGGAATAATATTGTTAATTTTTTCACAGAGTGGTTATATAAGGAAAAATTATGTAATTGCTAAAGTGTTATATGTATTCTAAAATACAAGTAAAAAAACTTACTCTTTTTCACGTTTCTCAAAATTTTCAAACTCTGCAAAAATACAAAGGCAAATATTAGTTTTTTATTGTTTCCTATGAAATCCAAAACACTTTAATCAAGTAGAAATATAGACTTCAGTCGAAAGGATTAATTTCCTTAAAAATAGCCATCACACACACAAAATTATTTTTCCATCTTGCTATTTTAATTCAGCGCAAAGTCTTCCCTTGATTTTACCTTGCTACTTTTTCCCATCCACATTAGAATCACCCTATATATTTAGAAATAGTGCTATCAAAATATCAGAGAAAAAAAGAGTTCCTACTTTTCTTCTTTATCAGGACCATTCCAGAATCCACAATAGCTTCTTAAGATAGCTGTGATATACAGCCATTCTCATTCTAGCCAAGAACTTTGGCCAATCACATTCTGAGCTAAATTTACTAAGGTCCACTCCATACTGTTAACCATGCCACTTCCTGCTCCATCCATTCAGCAAACCCATTCTGCTTCCTTTATGGGGAAGTCCCTAACTTATTTAACTTCCAGGAACTGATCTATATTTCTTCTTTTCTTAACATATATCAGCATGTTTGTTTTTAATCTGTTTTTTGTTTATATTTTCATGTTGTTTCATATAGGCATTATATTCCAATGGATTAACTGTTCTCTTTTCAAGGGCGGTTGTCCTTTATGACATTTCTATTTTCCTAACACCTAACAGAAGTGTACTCGCCTATAAAATAGATATTTAATAAATTATATTCTTCAGAAAATTATTTAAATTTTTTAAATAGATCATTTACTTATAATTCAAAATATTGTAGTCAAAATGCTCCCATCTTTGCTCTCCATCTACCCAATTTCTAACCCTCCCTTCAGAGATAACCATTATAGTTTATTTCTTGTGTATTTTCCAGAGTCACTTGTACCTTATAATACAAATATAGATTATATTTCCTACCTTTTAAGGAAAAGTTAATAAATAATATATAAATATACTGAGGAAGTTCTTATTCCTTTTTAAACTATATACTATGCGTATACTATGATTTATGATTTTTTTAATCAGTTCCCCTAATGATTAACAGTCTTCTTCTCAATCTGCTTCTCTTATAAACAATCTAATTTCCATCCTGATTCTGGCAGCAGGGGAGGCGGGGAGTGTGAACACCTTCAGAAACGGAAAGATTCTGGCATATTTATTAAAACTCCCATCTTGTTTACCTTAGTCCTTGTGAAACTTTTTCCAGGAGTCTTTAATGTCTGCTTTGAAGATGTTGAATTTTCCATGGTACTAGGACAGCTAGTAGAAGAAGTCTCTATAGACTGAGCCTGCATACCTTAAAAAAAAAAAAAGTTTTGTTGCATAGCTTTTTAAATCTTTGGGTTATATATAGTGATATATTCAGTAATTCTTAGCTTGGCTTTTTTATGCCTTATTTTTGCAATACATTACAGGTCTTTTTAAATGTATTATTTTGATCTTGTTTAATCGTTCTTTATACCTTTTCCATTTAGGTCCTACTTAATTGTTAATCTTTTAGAAGTCTCATTTTTTTATAGCTTTTTTGAGAGGAATATACTGCCACTTACAATCTTCATCAGCAAGAAGGAAGGACTCCAGGGTTCTTTCTGGGAGTGGAGGTGGTGGGGGAGAAGAACGATCTTGATGTTGATCTGTAATAAGAAGAGTACACAACAAAAGAAAACAAAACAACAATCCAACAAGTTATGTCAAAACCCCCTTTTGATGTTGTGTAACTTTTCCATACTTTTCAATATTAACCTACACAAGCAAATAAAAAAATTATCTGAACCATAACTGGAGCCTCAAGTATTTTGTTCCTCTAGTGTTTTAGCCAATAAGCCTATGATTCATCAGAAACTTGTACTCTCTTAGAAAAGTATTCTTCCAAAGGAATTGAACTTGAAATTAATCAAGCTTCTAATTCTTATCTTTCTTTTTTAAAGATTTTATTTATTTGATAGAGATAGCGAGGAAGAGCATAAGCAGTGAGGAGAGGGAGAAGCAGGCTCCCTACTAAGCAGGGAGCCCTACACAGGGCTTGGTCCCAGGACTGTGAGATCGTGACCTGAGCCTAAGGCAGACGCTTAGCCAACTGAGCCACCCAGGCACCCCCAAGCTTCTAATTCTAACTGCCATTTTACACAGAATCCTGGGGATAGAGTAACATGTTAATAAATAAAACCATGAGAATACAATCAACAAAAATCCAGAATATCTGCAGTCTTTAGCACAAACGACCCATGCTCTTCTACAAATAAATAGCATAAGAAAATATAAAAAGGAGAAACTGTTACAGATTTTATAAGACTGAACAAATATGTAAACCAAATGCAGTATGTAGACTTTGAATCGAGATCCAAATAAACCAACTGTAAAAAAAGACATTTTTGAGGCAATTTGAGGAAACGGAATAAAATCTGGAGATTAGATAATAATAAGGAATTATTGTTAATTACATTGGTGTGATAATGCTATTAGGGTAGGCTTAAAATGTGTTTGAAATATTCTCTGATATAAAGAATCTTAAATAATAGAGCTATTTTCCCACAATAGAAGTCCTGAAGATACGAAGGGTGTATGATAATCTCATTATATAGTGCTGAGTATAATTATATACTATACTAATGTCTTTTGAAAATGAAAATGTGGTTCAATGGTAGAGTTTCATCTATCTTTGGTCTTTGGGTTCTTTAGGCCTTAAAATTTGTCTCTAAAGCAAGTTCCCTTGTTTCTTTCTTATACACTGGGTGATATGCAAAAGTAAAGTACAACACTTATTTCCAACACCTAATATAATACCTGGCATATAGTAGGCACTTAATAAATATTTGATATCTACTCTGAAGTTGCTTATCATCTGCCAGTTTGCTGTTAAGATATATACTGGGAACTAAAGATAACTTGCAGTTAACGATATCCTGCCGAATATCTCCCTAAAATACCACTTTCATTGTATTTCCCCTCTGATGAATAACCTACAAGGCTTAGTACTTATTGCATTAAATCTGAATTCTTCTGCCTACCTGTGCATGTGTGTGTGATGGAATACATGTAACAAAATTTGCTATTAATGACAGTACATTGTGCAACCATCATCACTACCTGTCTCCAAAATATTCTCATTACCCCCAAAAGAAACTCCATATCCATTTAGCAGTCACTCCCCATTTCCCCCAGATCAGATTGGCAACCATGAATCTGTTTTCTTTATATATAGATTTCCTTAACCTGGATATTTTATCTGCCTACCTTTAAAATCCTTCAGAATCTTTCCACATTTTATCTATCCAAATTTATTTTCCATATTTTCCTGAATAGATCCTCCATTACAACTAAAGTAACCTACTCACCATTTCTCTACACTCATCATGCTTATTTCTACTTTTTAAGTCAATGTTATCCTGATCCCTGCTCCTGGAATTACCTCCTTTTTCCTCTGTCTACTCATATTCTTAAATTTCTTTCTTCTACTCAGTGAAGCCTTTCCTAACCACTCCAGTGATACCTCCTTTTTTTCCAGACTCTTGGTGATTATAATCAGCGACACACAGATGATCAGTTAGTGGCGCCAAGTAAGTATTAATTTTGCCTATCCAGTTTGAATATAAACATTAAACAGTATCTTCTCTTACATATCCTGCCTATGCTAACACTGCATAAAACATATAGAACTTGCTTAGGAATTGCTCATTTAATAATTAATAAAAATGGTAATAGTTAGCATTTAATGAGAGCTTATTATTTGACAACCACTGTGTTAAAAGCTTTATATGCATTGTCTGACTCAACCCTTAAAAAATTCTCTAAGAAATGAATTCTGTTATCCTGGTATTATAAATGAGGAAAATCAACAAAGTATATAATTTCACCAAAGTCATACATTTTGATAACTACTGGTAAGCTAAAGATTTAAATAAAAGCCTATCAGACTCCAAAGCCCATGTTCATTAATCTCTGTGTTAAACTACCTATGTATATTTGAATAACACGTTCACATGAATAATTTGTTAAGGGCAACTACAGGTATTATAACGTATGTAAAGTACCTTTGTGTGCCCAGTTATGTTAGCTGTGGATGTTGTTATTCCATGTATAAAATAAGTAAAGCTTAGGGCGCCTGGGTGGCTCAGTCAGTTAGGCACCTGCCTTTAGCTCAGATCATGATCTTGGAGTCCTGGGATAGAACCCCAAGTGGGGCTCCCTGCTCAGTGGAGAGTCAGCTTCTCCCTCTCCCTCTGCCCTTACCCCTGCTTCTTCACTCTGTCTCACTCACTCTCTCTCTCAAATAAATAAATAAAATCTTTTTTTAAAAAAAACGAGCAAAACTCAAAAGTCCTGGAGAAGCAACAGCAAGTTAAATATCTAAAGAGTCACATTGCTAACAACGGTAAAACCTAATAAAATAAAAAAGCTTCAAAGTTTTGAGAGATTCTACCTAAAATAGTTTTGGGTTTTTTTTTTTAAAGGATTATATATCAAGGAGCAGAGTTTTAAAATCCTGTGTTTACCTTGCCCTTGACAAAACAAAATTCCTAGCCTGGAAAAATCAGAAATAAACTAATAAATAGTGGGAGCTATTATGGGAACCATGCCATTTCCGGAGGTGAACTACTCTAAATTTAAGGAGTCATCCTTATAGTATAAATTCTTAGGCCTAAATGTCATCTAAAGCCAAAGGAAATTTTTTTACCTGATTTGGGACTCCGGAGTTTTACACTCTAAAAGAAAGAAAGAAAGAAAGGAAAAGTGAAAGAAGAATATGTACAGAAATTTACAATCTCAAAGCAATAAAAGGCACTTTTGAAAGCATATTTCATATACCTAGAGAGACAGTTGTGAAATGTTGAGCCTATTTTTCAATTTGGAAGCACACCAAATTATGAAAACGCATCCTTTACCCTTTAAGTGCTTTACTTTCTTTTTGTAAATTTATTTCTTGTTTCTTTTTCTTTTTTACAAAGCGAGCTTATGAATTTTTAAAATTTTAAGTGCTTTACTTTCTTTTTGTAAGTTTATTCCTTGTTTCTTTTTCTTTTTTACAAAGCGAGCTTATAAATTTTTTAAATTTTAAATTATTTTTAAGCTTCAAGTATAATTAACATACAATGTTATATTAATTTCAGGTGTAAAATTTAATGATTCAACAATTCTATACATTACTTAGTGCTGTTCATGATGAGTATACTCTTAATTCCCTTCACCTATTTCACTCACACCCTCACCCACCTCCCCGCTGGTAACCCATCAGTTTGTTCTGTATAATTATGAGTCTGTTTTTTTGTTTGTCCCTTTTTCTTTGTTCATTTGTTTTGTTTCCTAAATTTCACGTACAAGTGAAATCATATGGCAATTGTCTTTCTCTGACTTATTTCACTTAGCATAATATCTTCCAGGTCCATCCATGTTGTCACAAATGGCAAGATCTCATTCTTTTTTTATGGCTGGATAATATCCCATGATACATATGTGTATAAGATATGTGCTTATGTGTGTGTGTGTGTGTGTGTGTATATATATATATATCATATCTATCATATCTTCTTTATCCATTCATCTAGAGATGACATTTGGTTGCTTCCATATCTTAGCTATTATAAAGAATGCTGCAATAAACATAGGGGTGCATATAACTTTTTAAATTAGTGTTTTTGTTTTCATTGGGTAAGTATCCAGTAGTGGAATTACAAGGTCATATGGCAATTTTATTTTTAACTTTTTGAGGAACCTCCATATTGTCTTCCATAGTGGCTACACCAGTTTGCATTTCCACCAACAATTCATGACAGTTCCTTTTTTCCCACATCCTCACCAATGCTTGTTCCTCATGTTTCTTTATTTCAACCATTCTGACTGGAGTGAGGTGATATCTGTGATTTTGATTTGCATTTCCCTGATGATTAACGATGAGCATCTTTTTATGTCTGTTGGCTATCTGTATGTCTTCCTTGGAAAATGTCTATTTATGTCTTCTGTCCATTTTATAAATTAGATTATTTAAGTGTTTTTGGTGTTGACTTGTATAAGTTCTTTATATATTTTAGATATTAACCCCTGATTGAATGTATCATTTGCAAATATCTTCTGCTATAACCTTATGGTGATTTTTATATGTCATGGCAATTGGTCCTACACTGATTTTTAAAATTTATTTCCTTTGTATTCAGAACATTTCCCTGAAAATTTAATTGGAGGTAAATTGTTGAAACTGAAATTACTTCATAACGTTGGAAAAGGAGTAATTGTTTCTGGCTCTAGAAGTCGTTAAGATAAAGATCATTACATGTGGGTATATTATCAACAATGATAACTACTAATGAATTAAAAGTGTAATTAAAAAGAGACTATTTGCCTACAAGCATTGCAATTGTAGGCATTTAAAAATGTTTGTTTAATTCATTACTTTTCCGATCTCTAAAATTTTAAGGTAGTTGGTTCATAGAATATATACAAACATGTAAAAGATTACTGAAGCGTGGATTTTACTTCCAGAAGTGGGGAGCATTATTCCAAAAAGTTTATCTCAAGTAATACAGACATCTGTCATTCAAAAAAAATTCTCTACAATATATTATCACCGTAAACATGATATAGCCTACCAAAGGACTACCATGAACAGGCTACCTACTTCTGAAACATTTATTTTGCCTATCCTTCAGGTATCAACTCAAATATTTCCTCTTTCACTAAGCCTTCCTTAGTCATGTCCAACTTGTAAGTTTCTTAAGGGCAATGACTGCGTCTTATCCATCTTTTTACCCCACATCCTCTAGCACAGTAGTACCTGCTCAGCATTCATTGAGTGATAGGTGTTAAAAATACAAGGAGTAGGATTATGGTCTGTTGAATCCAGATGAGTAGGAAAAAAAAAGTTATTGACCTTAGTTGGTCTAAGTCTCACAGAGTCATCAGATGTATTTAACTCAGATGTTCCACTCCATTCTCGTGATATTCCAACTTTTGCCTTCGCAGGTGAAGATAAGGATTTGGGAACACCCAGTGAGAATTCTCCTGAAAGAAAGCAAATATATATGGCCCAATTCTTAGGAGTGTTGTAATTCTTTTTTAGAACAATGCAAATGTTACTCAGCAATAGCACACAGGAACATTGGCAGGACCTGAGAAGTATTCTGGTTAATCCACACTTTATTTTACACTTACTGAACTGTACTTACCAGCTTCCTCCAGCACAATAAAAGATTCAGGAGTCCTTTCAGGAAGTGGAGGGGGTACTTCATCATCCATCGAAGGAGGGGTTGCTATCCAAAGTGTCAGAAATACAACCATAATTTTTAATTAGAAAAATCTAAAGGAAATTCTTATATTCTAAAGCCCATCAAGCATCATTACAATACTTAAGTTGCTAAGTGTTTACTCCACGGAAAAGCAAAATAAATTCTTCCATTTCAAGTTGCAAACCTAGGAGGTTTTCTGCTGCTTCAACGTTTAGTATTTCTTTTAAAAGTCCAAAAGTTTTTTTACTGAGTCACAGTTAAGATAATAGAAAACATGATATTAATTCAGTAAGTTTTGAATTGTTTTCTATATAACCCTTTTGTTTTATGAAGAAAACAATAAAGCATGATAAAGCACTTTGAAATATGCCAAGGATTCAGTTACAGAGTGGGTGGTATTATAAAGATTTTAGCAGCTCTTCTTCATTTTACAGTGAAGACTAGGTTTTTACAAAACAATGGCATAACAAGGTTTTCTGTTTTTCTACAGAAAAATTGAGAATTTTTACAGAAAAATTCAAATGCTATTATAAGAAACTGCCACCAGGTGGCACACATGCCAAGATGCTACAATCCTTAAAGATGGGATTTGATTTTAATGATGATGCTCAGAGAAGTTTAAGGTATTGTGGGTATATTAAAAAAAAATCCTTTAAATTATAAAACAAGATCAAAGTATATAAAATAAATAAGGAAATAGATCCAGATGAAATATTTTTGTAACAAACTATACATCCACATGTCTATCTTATTAAGAAACGCTGTACAATACATAATGTTATAGGAAAAAAAAACCTTTCTTTAGTTCCTCTTAGAGTAAAATATTATTTATAAATTTCTGATAATATACCTGGAGAGTTAAAATTGCTCTTTTTTTCACCTTCTTCCATATCAAGCTATTATGATCATCTCTAGCAGGATATTTACTTCTACTTTTTTTTTTTTACTTCTACTTTCAAACCACTCAATAAAACAAAAACAATATACGTAATATGCAAAAATCCAGAATTCTGAAAGTGAAAGAGTATGAAAGTAATGGTGTATATAAGATTAAAGTCCTACACAGGATACCAAATACATGTTCTCATCTACTACGTTATTACACAAGGATGGGATCCTCCTGTTCCAACTGCTGCAGCAAGAAAATTCAATTCTTAGCGATCTGTTCAACTCAGTGCAGCCACATGGTTGTATGATAAAAGTCCCCAGTGATCACGTGGTACTGTGGATCAGATCCTTTCTGCTGTTCCTTTGGAAGTTGCTTCTGGATATTAAGGGTAAATTGTGGACCTCTGATACATTCCAAGGAATGGGGATTGCCTTTTTTAGAAGCACCCTTGCTGGCATAGATCCTGCACCAGATCTGAATGCCTCCATTGCTGCCTGTTTCACCACTATTACATATTTGTTATTGCTACTTCTTGACTTACCACATCAGTAAAACATTTCTGGAATTTATTTCTTTGAGAAGGAAAAGGAAGAAGGAGACAAAAGCAGAGAAAGACAAGGAGGAGACAGAGAGAAACCAAATCTATAGAAACAGAGTGAAATCCAAAATTCCACATAAACTTCTAAAAATAACTTACCTACTACTACTGCTGTCTCTTGGCTTGGTAGGGGATCATCAGTTGGAGGACTCAGTGCTAAAGAATCATGTGAATTGTAACAAGAAAAAAGGGTTGTGGAGGATGTTGGCAATGAAGAACAAGGTAAAACATTTCCATCTAGCTTCTCAGGTAAATCAAGAGACATCTTAGAACCAGCACTACTTGGTGACAATGATAAAAAATAAGGATCTTCTGAAGACATGTAAGAATATACATCAACAGCACTAGAGTCCTGCCACTTTGCATCAGAGGTATTGCACATTTGGTGCTGATAGCCAGATGGCAGCGAGTAATTCAGTTCTGCTGAAGAAACATGCATTGCTTTTTGAGGCTGCTCAAGACAAAAGTTGCGTGGTTGAGATTCCAAACGAGAAGAATGTGCCTTGACATCCAGCTCCTTGGTGTCTCTCTGTTGTATCAGTTCAAAGGGAATTGATTTGGTCCTCATTATCGGCCTCTTTGAATTAAAATATCTTCCTGCTACATCTGCAGGTTTAGAATTTGGATATGCTCCAAACAAAATGGAGCTCCAGTCCAAACTTTGATGCTTCTGAAGAGGCTCCCCAGCAATTGGAAATGCCTTTGTCTCCCACTCTGTGACTATATCAGCATTTTTGTTACAACTACAATTTAGCTCCAAAAGGTCAAAAGAACTGCTCTGTCCAGCAGGGTGCAAAACTAACCCTTCCTTTTCACTGATGTCAGAAGTCCTGAATTCAAAGGAAGAAGCTTCTGCGCTTTTTATCCTTAGCCTTTGTTTGCTCTGTTGGTTCATCATTTTTGCTTCTTTTATGTCACTAAAACAAAAAGACAGTAATAATGACATCACACCCCAAAGAGGCCTCTTCCTAGCATCACAATGGGTAATCAGCATGACATTTGCCCTCCACCCCGACACAATTAGACAACATTGAGGTGTGTAAAATTGTACTCACCTTTCCGGTAAATTAGGAGAATGAGACTCTGTTTCTACAGTGGGATTTTGCTCAAGAGCTGAATACTTTGCTTGCATCTTCAAGAGAAATAAAGAAGACTTTAGTTTTTAGTGAAGAAATAGCAATGAGTATTTTAACACTCACAAAGTTGAGAAGTTATTTTTCAAAAAACATAAAGATTCTAGATAATTCACAAAAGAGGTGAGTTTCCAAAATATTGAGTCCAACAAGAATCTGTTTCCATATCCAGATCAAAGAGATCCAAATAAAGGATTAGTAGTGGTATAGAAACTAGAAAGTATTTGCTTATAGTATCAAATGTCTTTGGGGGTAACTTTACTCTCATGCACAATCTACCTTCAGAAATGACATAAACTCTTAATGTTAGTAAGTTCTTATTATGTTATTAATGTTAGTAAGTTCCTCATACTTTTCTTGTTCTACCTCTTCTTTCCTTACCATGCTCTAGCTAGACTAGTTTTCTTCCCATTCCTTAAGCATACCAAATTTATTTCCAATTCTAGGCTTTTACACTTACTACTCCCTCTGATTGAAATACTCTTGCGGGCAGCCCAGGCGGCCCAGCGGTTTAGCGCTGCCTTCAGCCCAGGGCATGATCCTGGAGACCTAGGATCCAGTCCCACATCGGGCTCCCTGCATGGAGCCTGCTTCTCTCTCTGCCTGTGTCTCTGCCTCTCTCTCTGTATGTCTCTCATGAATAAATAAAATCTTTTAAAAAAAATGAAATACTCTTGCTCCAGATTTTGCATAACTGGCTCTTTCTAAGTAATTATTCTTTACTTAAATGTCACCTGCATTAGAAAAAAAAAAAAAAAACTTCTCTGACCACTCAACCTAAACATCATACTCCCACACACTTGTCACCCACTCTTTTTTTCTTCAGAGCAATGCTCACATTATGAAATATGCTACACAGAATCTTAGATACCTCCAATTTGTAAAATGCATCCTGATTTTAGAAATGTTTAAATATATTTTATAAATGTCATCAGCAATTGTAAGATTCCACCTGTTGTGGATTTAATTAAGACTCTCAAAAAGATTTGTTGAAATCTAATATTTCTGATATTATGATATACCCTGATATCTATGAATATGACCTTATATGGAAATAGAGTCTTTGCAGGTGTTAATAGTCCAGATGAGGTTATGCTGGAGGGTGGGCCTATCACAATGACTTGTGTTCTTATAAAAATATAAGCAGAGACTCAGAGACATTCAAGGAGAATGCCTTGTGATGATGGAGACAGAGACTGGAACAATGCATCTGTAAGTCAATGAATGCCAAAGATTGCTGACAAATACCAGAAACTAAGAAGAAACAAGGAAGACTCTGTCTCTAGAACTGTGAGAAAAAGCATGGCCTTAGTGACACCTTGAGTTTGGACTTCCTCCTACCTCTAAAACTATGAGAAAATAAATTTGTTTTAAACCCTCCTTAGTTTGTGATATTTGTTACAACGGGTCTGGTAAACTGATAAGATACATTAGTACCCCATTTTCAATAATGGATAGGTCAGATAGTAGATCAATAAGTAAACAGAGAACCAGACATGAATAACACCATAAACCGATTTAACCTAACAATGCATAACACTCCATGTTACAATGTATACATTCTTCTCAAACTTACATAGACTATTATCCAGGATAGACCATATAATAAGCCACAAAACAAGTCTTAATACGTTTTAAAAGATCAAAGTGATACGAGTATTTTTTCCAATGGATTGAGGCTAAAAATTAATAAAACTAGAAAATTCATGGGTCAAAGAAGAAATCACAACAGAAATTAGAAATATTCAAAAATGAACGAAAACATAGTATACAAAAATGTATGAGATACAATGAAAGTGATATTCAGAGGGAATCTATAGCTATAGATACCTACTCTTTTTTGTTGTTGTTAAAGATTTTATTTATTTATTCATGAGAGACACACAGAAAGTGAAAGAGTCAAGAGACACAGGCAGAGGGAGAAGCAGGCTCCATGCAGGGAGCCCTACGTGAGACTTGATCCGGGGACTCCAGGATCATGACCTGAGCTGAAGGCACGCTCAACCACTGAGCTACCCAGGCGTCGCTAGACACCTACTCTTAAAAAGAAAAAAAAGGGGGCAGCCTGGGTGGCTCAGCTGTTGAGGGCGGACTTCAGCCCAGGGTGTGATCCTGGAGACCCAGGATCGAGTCCCACATCCCAGGGATCGAGTCCCACATCAGGTTTCCTACATGGAACTTGCTTCTCTGCCTGTGTCTCTGCCTCTCTCTTTCTCTCTGTGTCTCTCATGAATAAGTAAATAATATCTAAAAAGAAAAAAAGAAAAGAAAAGAAGAACTCAAATCAATGACTTAGCTTTATACCTAAGTAACTGGAAAAAATCAAACTAAACCTAAAGCTAGCAGAAGAAAGGAAATATTAACTATTAGAGCAAAGATAAATAGAGATTAAGAAAATAGTGGAGAAAATCTACAAAACCAAAAGTTAAACCTTTGTAGAGATCAACAAAACAAACCTTAGTTAGACTGACTAAGGAAAAAAGAGAGAAGACTCAAATTACCAAAATCTCAAATTACAGAAATAAAAATGGGTATATTATCACCAGTTTTACAGAAATAAAAAGTATTACAAAACAATTATGTGAACAATTGTGCACCAACGAATTGTATAACCTAGATGAAATGGACAAATTCCTAGAAACCCATGACCAACCAAACCTGACTCAGGAAGAAATAGAAAAACTGAATAGATGTACAACTAGTAAGTAGACTGAATCAGTAATCAAAAGACCTTCCAACAAAGAAAAGCTCAGGACCAGATGGCTTCATTAGTGAACTCCACCAAACATTTAATGCCAACCTTTCACAGACTCTTCCAAAAAACTGAATAGGAGAGAACACTTGAGAAGTCATACTATGACGCCAGCATTTCCCTGATAGCAAGACCAGACAAAGATACTATAAGAAAAAGAAAAATATAGATCAATATAATTTATGATTATTGATGCAAAGTCCTCAACTAAATATTAGCAAACTGAATCCAGCATCATATTAAAAGGATTATGAACCATGACCAAGTGGGATTTATTCCCAGAATGCAAAGATTGTTCAACATACAAAAATCAATCAATATAATATACCCCCATTAATAAAATAAAAGAGAAAACCCCTACATGATCATGTCAGTTCATGCAGAAGAAAAAGTATTTGACAAAATTCATGATAAAGACACTCAAAAATCTGGGAATATAATTTCCTTAATGTAATAAAAACCACATATGCAAAACCCACAGCCAACATTATATTCAATGGTGAAAGTCTGAAAGCTTTTCCCTGAAGATGAGGAATAGAACAACGATGCCAATTTTTACCACTTCTATTCAACTTAGTACTTAAAATTCATTGCCAGAGAAATTTGGCAAGAAAAAACAAAAGGCATCAAAATTGGAAAAGAGGAAGTAATGTTATTTTCATTTGCAGATGACGTGATCTCATATGCTGAGAGATTCTACATATGCACACACAAAAGCTACAACTAAGAAACGAATTCAGTGAGAATGCAAAATACAAAATCATCACACAAAAACCAGTTGCATTTCTATACACTAGCAATACACAACCTGAAAGGAAAATTAAGAAAACAACTCAATTTTATTAGCATCACAAAATACTTAGGAATAAATTCAAACAATAAAATGAAAGACTCATATACTGAAAACTACAAAACATTGCTAACAGAAATTAAATAAGACAAATAAATGGAAAGACATCCTCCGTTCATGGAGTGGATGACAAAATATTGATACAATAACTATGTTACCCAAAGTGATCTACAGATTCAGTTCAATCCCTACCAAAATCCCAATGATGTTTTTGTAGAAATAGAAATATTCATCCTAAAATCTATATGGAATCTCGAGGGACTCCAAATAGCCAAAACAATCTTGAAAAGGAAGAACAAACCTGGAGGACTCATACTTCCACTCCTGTATAACAGGAGTGCCTGGCTGGCTCAGCAGATAGAGTATGTGATTCTTGATCTTGAGGTCATGAGTTCAAGCCCCATGTTGAGCATAGAGCTTACTTTTAAAATATATTCTACAAAGATACAGTAATAAAACAACTGAACTGGCTTGGGACAGCCATAAAGACCAATGGAATAAAATAGAGACCATGGTAATAAACTCACATAAGTGGGAAATTGAGTTTTGGTGAAGGTACCAAGATCATTCAATGGAGAAAAGATTCTTTTCAACAAATGGTTCTGGAAAATCTGGACATCCACGTGCAAAAGAATGAATTTTGACCTGTACCTTACAATATATATAAAAATTAACTTAGAATGGATCAAATACTTGAATATAAGAACTAAAGCTATAAAAACTCTTAGAAGAAAACACAGAAAGCTTCATGACATTGGATTTGGTAATGATTTCTTGGATATGACACAAAATCACTAGCAATAACAAAATAAACAAACTGAACTTTATGAAAATTAAAATTTTTGTGCATCAAGTACATAATCAACAGTGTGAAAGGGCAACCCACAGGATGGGAGACAATATTTGCAAGTCACATATCTGATAAGGGATTAATATCCAGAATATACAGAGGACTCCTAAGATTTAACAATAAGAAAAAAAAGCAATTCAAAATGGGCAAAGGACTTATACAGACAATGATATATAAATGGCCAATGAGCACAGGAAAATTTCTTAACATCACTAAACAGGAAAATTCAAACCAGAACCACAATGGGACACCACTTTATATCATTAGGATGGTTACCATGTAAAAGCAAACAAAAATAGAAAATAATAAGTATTGCTAAGGACCTGGAGAAATTGGAACCCTTGTACATTGCTGGTGGGAATGTAAAATGGTGCCAGTGCTGTAAAAAACAGTATGGCAGTATCTCAAAAAATTAAACACAGAATTATCATGTGAGGGGTACTTGGCTGTCTTGGTCAGAAAAGCATGTAACTCTTGATCTCAGGGTCATGAGTTTGAGCCCCATGTTGAGTGTAGAAATTACTTAAATAAATAAATACTAAAAAAA